CCTGTCCCTCGTCTTTCCATCTGGGCTGGCCAGGCGGGGCTGAAGGAGGTAGGGCCGAGAGGCCAGTTCATCCTGGAGCTGCAGAGACTTGGTTTACCCTGCACGCTTCTCTCTCTCTGTCCTCCAGCCCCTCTGTCTTCCTCTCCTCCTGTCCTCTACCTTCCCCTTTCCTCCCCCAAGGACATCCTTGACTTAATGATTTGGGCCAAAGGAAGCAAGGAAAAGCTTGGCTCAGCATTTCAGCCGGGCAGGCTGGGAATGAAATGATGAAGGCAAGAGACGGTCCCAGCAGGAGAGAGAGTTTTACGCGTGACTTCACCTTCCTTTTCAGAGCATCAGCCTGTTCAGTTCTCCTTCTTTCTTCATTGCTGGGTCCTCATTTAATTCTTTCCTTCCTTTATGCCCTGACCCGGTTATGGACGCCTGGCCAAGCTTATTTTCAGGCTGCGTTAAATATACGGGGAAGTCTCTCCTTGCTCACAGTACATCCTTGTGGGAGGATTCTGGTTTCATTGCCTGGGGAGTTGACCAGTTGGAGGGAGAGTGTGTGCTCCCGGGGTTTCTAAATAGGCCCGCTGCCCTATCGCTGTCTTCATGAAGACAGTCCTTTGGGTGGAATGAGCTAATGTTTACAGCACCTTGTGGGAGGTGTTCCTTGTGTGCTCTGTTTATTAGAGGAGGAAACTGAGGTTCTGTGTGGTTATTCATGGGAGACACTGGAAGGTGTCCACCCTGTTCTGATGGGAAGTAAGGTGACACAGCCACCAGGAATTCCACCCCATCCAGTCACCCCATCTGGCAGCTACATGTTCATTCCCAAGCCTGGCCAGTCACACTTGTTACAGTTTCTGCTTGGGAGCATCTTGTGTCCTTTCCAGAGTCAGGGCTCAGGCGTGTTACCACCTTCCCCAGCACGGGGCCGTCTCTCCTCCAGGCCTGCTGGCCCTCTGCAGTGTGTAGTGGATCTCAGCCTTGGCCATTCCCACAGTTTTTGGCTCAGTCGGTCTGGGGCGGGACCTGAGAATTTGCATTTCTAACAACTTCCCAAGTGCTGCTGATGCTAGACTACACTTTGAGAACCACTACTCTAGATTGATTCAGAATCCTATTTTTCTAGATTGGTGATATATTGAATCCATTGTGGCTATTAGAAAACTCTAAAATAATAGTGACTTAATAACTAAGACACAAGAGCATTCTTTCTCACATAGTAGAAATCCAGATAAAGACCATCTGAGGCTAGTGTGACAGTTCAGGAATTTTTAGGGACCCAGGCTTCCCTCTTCCTATTAAATCACTTTAGTGCAGGACTCTCGTTTTCAATGTCCCTCATAGTCCAAAATGGCTGCTGGAGCACCAGCCATCACATCCTCACTGAAGGCAGAAGGTAGGAAAGGCAGATAGGTAGTAATTGGGCTCTTTCCAACACCTTTCGAACAGCCTCCCCAGGAGTCCCACAGCATTTGTTTACATCTCTTTGATCAGATCTTAGTCCCATGGCCATAGCTAGCTGCAAGGGAGGCTGAGAAACAGTTTTTTTACTCTGGACCACAGTGTGCCCACCAAAAGTCAGAGTTATCTTTCTAAGTAGAAAGGGGAGAACAAGAATTAGAAAAAGTAACCGACATCCTCCTAAGAGTTAATCATTTATTTGGCATCTGCCAGGTGCCATGTGCTTTTCACGTGGTATCTCATTTAATCCTAAAGGCTTTGCAAGGCAGATATTATCTTTATTTTGCAGATGACAGAAGCTTTCAGAGATTAAGCCACTGGCCCAGGTTACAGTCACAAATGATGTAATTTAAAGGCCCCTTTAAACCCCGGGCTGCTTCTTGACTCAGTTGCTCTCAGAGACCTACCCTTTTCCTCCTGAGGCTATAGTGTGTCTGTTAGACTTTTCTAAACCAAATTCTGGACCCTGCCCCTTCTGACGAGCCTCATTCCATCACTGCCTGTATCCCTGCTAATACCCTCTTCTACAGATCTATGGGGAAACAGAGACACCATGTGCCCTGAGTCACAAGATTAGTTCCCTGTGGCTGCTGTAAAGTGACCACAAACTGAGTGGCTTTAAGCAACACACATTTATTCTTTTTTACTTCTGGAGGCCAGTTTCCCTGGGCTAAAGTCAAGGTACCTGCAGGGCTGGTTCCTTCCGGGATCTCTAGGGAAGAATCCATTTCCCCGCCTTTCCCAGCTTCTGGAGCCACCTGCTCGCCTTGCCTCATGATTCCCGCCTCGAATCACTCCGGCCTCTCCCGGGTCAGGTCTCCCTTCGCCTCCCTCTTTCTTATAAAGACTCTTGTGATTATGGCTGGGGCCCACCCAGATAAGCCAGGAAAATCCCTGCAGCTCCAGAGCCTTCGCTTATACCTGCACAGTCCCTTTTGCTGGAGAAGGTCACATTCAAGGTCGCAGGCATTAGAGCCTGGTTGTCTTGGGGGGCTAATATTCAGCCTACCGCAGCTGCCCCCTTGCTACTGTCCTTCCTTCCCTTGTCCCCGGCTCCTCTTCAAGGGCTGTCCCAAACACAGACCATACACGCGTTTCACCTCTGTCCCCGGGGTTTTCAAAGAGGCCAGAGACAGGGTCTGAAGGGCAGAGCAGTGTGTTGGGAAACTTGTCTAATCAGCTCCCTGTGGCCATAGCAACGGACACAAAAACATTTGAGTGGAAAAGCATTGGGGGGAGGGGATCCTGCCCTAGAGGTCACTGAGTGACTTAACCTGGGCAGTGGTGCCCAGTGAGGACACATAAACAGCAGATCTGTCTCCTCAGCAAGCTTCATAAACCCTCTGGGCTGTGTGTTTCTAGGTAACCTTTCAAATCTCTAAGTGCCTGTTAATCGTGTGCCCCCTATTGCCATTCTCTGGGCTAATAGAGGCGTGTCTTTGGCCACATATAAACGCTACACCTAGAGGAATTTGACTGGGGGGTAGGAGGGAGGGAGTGTTAGGCTCTGCTTAGACTGGTTATGTTCTAACCTAATTTTCCTCTGCTGTGCTGGCTCCCTGGTCTCCACCCACCCAACCCCCCTCTTGGCTGGGTTGCCCATGCTGGGATGAGTCTGGGGTGTTGTATGTTTTGCTTTTTATTTTATTTTGCAAGTACCTCCCAACATTCCCCTCTGTGTTTAATGTCCCACTGCCAAGTGCATGGGGTTGCTGGGCAACAAGAAGGAAGTCCCTGTGTGATTCACCTGGCTGCTGCCAATTAATTTACTTGCTGCGTGCGTCTCCCCGGGGAAGGAAGAAGGAAAGGCTTCTCCGGGCCCGTCTGAGCCAGCGGGGAGGGCTGCTGCCCCGGAGGGGAGAGGAAGCCAGCGGAAAGTTAGCAGAACTTTGGGGGTGTTTTCGGGTCCAAATGAAAGAGAGTGTCTGGAAGGCCCTGGCAACACCTGGACGAAGACTTATGATGTCCCTCTTGGCCGCCAATCAGAGAGCCACCTGGAATGCCCAAGCACCTCTGCGTAGGCACGTTGGCTGGCTTTTTTTGGGTAGGTGACTCCAATATGCAGACTCTCCTGCACAGAAGTATCTTTAAGCATCATCTCCCTGTCCAGTCTCCCCGGGCCCTCATTGTGACAGTCTCCCTCCCCTCTGCGTTTCCCGGCAGCTGCACACATCCCTGCCAGGCCAATGCCCACAGGAAAGAGGACAGTCTTGCACCAGGCTGAGCCCTGACACACACAGGCCTGGAGGCACAGAACAGGGCCTGTTGGCCCAGACTCCTCCCGAATCCTTAGTGTATTTCCTGAGATACTGCTGGCCTCCTTTTGGCCTCCTGCTTGGTCAGTGTCACCTCTCCATGAGTGCCTAGGAGGTGGGGTTTGCCTGTCTGGTTTATGTCTGGATCCACAGCATCTAACCCAGTACGGTCCTGGGGACACGTGGATTTGCATTTCTTGTAGGTTGATGGTCATTGCTGGAAGCAGAGACCCAGCAAGCGACCTCTGTCCTGAAGCCCCAATGATCTCTTCCTGTGAATAGGCCCCTTACCCTGCATTGCTGGGTCTCATTCCATTTTATTTTTTATGTTTTTTTAAAAAATATATCTTTATTGATTTCAGAGAGAGGAAGGGAGAGAGAGAGAGAGAGATGGAAACATCAATGATGAGAGAGTCATGGATCAGCTGCCTCCTGCACGCCCCCGACTGGGGATCGAGCCCACAACCCGGGCCTGTGCCCTGACCGGGAATCGAACCAGCGCCTCCTGGTTCACAGGTCGATGCTGCTCAACCACTGAACCATACCGGCAGGGCGGGCCGCATCCATTTCAAAATGATGAGGTCCCCTGAGGGCATTTTAGTGGTACCAAATATATCCGTCACTAGAAATTCAGAGGTGGTGGGAAGCAAGGGAAGTATGACAAGTGCGAGTCCACCTCCGTTTGTTTGCCGTCAGCATTAGGGAAGTAGAAATGTGTTAAACCATGTGTCTTCGTTTCCTCCGAGGGACCTCATCCGCTCTGGGTCATTTCCTAATTAATTATTAAGGGACTTGTGAAAGCAGAGAGGTGCCAGCTGAAGGGAACAATAGGATAAGAGACCAGACCCTTGTCATCCTCTCCCGAGAACTCTGGCGCCGTCTGCGCCTCAGTTTCCCATTTGTAAAGTAGGTGATCTGACGCCTCCGTGCTCCCTGCCCCACATCTCACGGACGTAGAATAGTGACACGCTGAAGACAGAATTTTCCACGTCCTCTGGGCTGGCTGGATTCAGTGGTTTTTAAAAAAAATCAGCTATGGGTGTAGTGGTGAGATGTGTGTAAAGGGCTCCCGGTGATGATTCATTGTCCAGGGAGTTGCTTGAGATGTATAAATAGGCCTTTTTTGCCCCCCCCCCCCTTAACAAAAATCCTGCTTTTAAAAGCAGTGTCTGTTCTCTTCAGTCGCTGGACTATCATGGACTCAAGTCAGGAAAGTGACACTCATTGGTGAAAGACATCTGCTGGAAGGGCAGACGCCAGAACCTCACTCTTACGCTGTTTTTTGCTCTACAGGCCTCGAAAAGAGGATTGGCAGAGGGCTGCCCCTTCTCGCCACCACTTCCCACCAGGAAGCGTCGGGGAGCCAGCGTGTGCCACCAGGGTCCCCCTGAAGAACCTGGCTCAGAGGCGACCGTCTCTTAAGAGGCAAGAGCTCTATACTGGATCGAGAATTCTTATTTTGGAGGGTAAAGAAGATTCTGGATTTGAGAAGACACTTAAGGAGAAAGCGAGACCCTTCACACCGAGGAATAGTTTCCGCGATGACCTGCGCACACGGGGAAGTGCGTCGCTGGGCCACCTACCGCTGGAGAGGACCCCGCTATCCCAGACCTTGCTTTTCCTTCTTACGGAAAACCCTCCCTCTCCTGCCGCCGGCTCCGAAGACCCCCCCACCCCC